GTGCAGCAGAAAAGTAAATGCCTTCCTGCAGTAGGCTCTGGGCATCAGACCTTGGACTAACAAATGGTTTGTTAGTCAATACCCACTGCATTTGTTATGGCTCCATTTTAAAAGGCAGAGTTCTGCACCTGCCTGGAGTGTAATCAGTGCAGGATGATCAGCAACTGCAGATGAAGAAGAGATGGCTGTGCATCACTTCTCCAGCCCCTCTAAGAGGTAGCTGGAGAAGAGACAATGACCTAAAGCTGGCAGTGAGACCACACAATTGCAGGAAGCACCACACAGGCGCGGTGGTGCTCAATGGGGACTACACAGTGAGCATCTCCTCTGGCCTATTTGGGTATGTTCTCTGCTTTAGGGAGATTCAGGGATGCAGGAGTTGTATTTTTGCCTCCTAGAGATTACCATAAATAACACCCCGACTGTCTTCCATTTGCCTATAGCACAGGCACCTTGTAGAGAGAATGATCAGCAGATGGACTTCACCCAGGTTGGGTACCACGAGACTGCAGATCCACTCTGTTCCTCCACAGCAATCTAACTGCTGGTGTCAATACAACCACAGCCATTCCTCCTGATAGGAACTAATCATTCATCTAAGTTAAGTATCTGCATGACTATAGGGTACAACATGGACAATACTGTAAAGCTCCAAGCTAACAGAAAGAGTAAGCTCCCACTCCAGGGGAAAATCAAAGACATGTATCAGCTCTACCCCTGCAGCCTTGTATGTAAAGATACAAGCAAGTCTATTACTAAATAGATGCACCCAAAAGAGGGTGACAGAGGAGAAGAAGTCACAAAGTGGGAGTTATTCTTCAAAACTCAAGAAGATGCTATTGCAACTGTCCACGTTCAGGTTACACCTTGGCCTGTCTCATTGTCATTTGTAGCCAGAGGGAGCTGACACCCACTCCAAACAGTGGAAGTTAAGTACTCAGGAGCTAAATCTTTCACGCACCTGACCTAAATACAGCTCCCAGGCTGGATATCCATCAGTTTAAATGCAGCACTCTTAAGATACATCCGTAGCTTGCTCCAGCAGGCTGGATTCTCCCCTTATCCACGTTGCAGCAACAGTGCTGGCCTGCAAGGAGCTATTTCTCATTTACATCAGTGTCAATGATTACAGAATAAACTGCATTATCTTTGGCGAATACTAATCTATTACATAAAAATATACAATATTCATTACCAAGCAAGTAAGCAGGAACTAAAGAAGGATGACAGCTGAGGTATCTACAGAGCATTCTTTTCTTTAAGCTGTGCTCCTGAGAGAAACTGAAATGCTGTATTTGCGAAGTGACACCAGTTAAAAGTTGTCTCACCCACTCCCTTGTAGAGTCCTGTTTACTAGAAACTTGAGAAGAGGCCGAGAGCAGAGAAACAGGCATTTAAGAACCCTCCAAAACCAAGCCTTATCAAAAACAATACACCATTCTACTGCGATCATCCCCAACCTCTGCACAAATGAAGGCTTTAGCCTTTTGGGCTATTACAGCAGAACACTGTTGTATTTTTTAAAAATTATGTAAGAGTGTCTCAGTGCCAGAGAGAAACAAAATGTGGGTTGGAAAAGCTCGTGAAGCGAGTGTGTGGAAGAGAAAATACAAACTGAACCAAAAGGAAAACACATGGATAAAACATCTACCTTTGATTGTTTATCTAAAGAAGGAAAACATTTAAAAATGAAAAAATGAGTATTCAGGCAAGCTAACCATATGATTTGTTACAGGGGTAGAATCTAAAGTCTATGAACACAGTTCAGAAGGTAATTTTCCTTCAAGTACATTTCAGCATTCTCCAAAGTGTTTCAAGTGCACATAGTTTTTAAAAAAAACACCTATCTTGATGTGCTGGATGTCCTTAAAAAAACCCACTACAAACCACAACATGCTAAGTGCAGTAATAATCTCCTCCTTCACTTTAAAGGTCACAGTTGTCCTCCTAGGCATTCAGATGTCTTAGGAAAAGGAATGCACTTGCAAGACAAAAGAAAGCAAGCAAAAGGGCAAACTAAAGTTAATGATTTCCAAATATATTTTGCTGCTGAATCTTTAAAACTAAGAGGCAGAAAGGAAAATTTTAATCAGCTATAACCAGCATATTTTGAACAAAGGTTCCCAAGATATTGACGTACAAGCACTAATTCTACCAAATGATACAGACTGGATGGTTGAAACCCAACAATTTTAGATACAGGAATAGCTCCATGGGCTCTGCCTACTTACTTGCTTAAAGGAACTGTGACCAGGCAGTACAACAAAAGCTATTTCAAAAAAACATTCATATGGTGAACATTTCTACAAAGTTCTGGCACAGCTTTCAGTGATTAGGAACAAAATTCACATGTAGCATCATTTAACAAAACATTTCCATGTGAGCTGAAATAATTCCTGAAAAATAATTTCCTTGCACCAAAAAAAAAAAAAAAAGGAAAAAAGACTGTTCCTTAAAATAATTCACTTCAAATGTGTCACTCCATTGTACCATGGAAACAAGTCTCATTTAAAGGAACACTTTATTAACACCTATTTTTCTTGTTCTCAACTATTTCTACAGTTCCAATCAATAAACTATTCACAACTAATTTTATAAATAAACAAAAATCTTGGCATTTCAGAGTGTGTTAGTTATCTCAACCAAAACCAGTTCTAGCTCTTTACAATGTGCATCAGCACTGAAGGAAAAGTGTATCCTTGTGAAGGATACTTATCTGATCTGAGGTCTAGGCATAAGAGGAGAGTGAGTGGGCACAACTTGCAGAACTTCACCAGCCCAGCCCAACCTACCCTAGATGAAACAGCTTCCACAGTAATGCAGCAAGCCTGCTGGAGCTAGGACTGCAGATCCCACTAGGAAGAAGAAAGGAGATTAGAGCAGCATGTTTCCCACAGCATTGTCCTGGAGAAACTGGCAGCTCATGGCTTGGACAGGTGTTCGCTTCACTGAGTGAAAAATTGTCTGAATGGCTGGGCCCAAAGAGTTGTGGTGAATGGAGTTACATCCAGTCAGTGGCCGATCACAAGTGGTGGGCACCAGGGCTCAGTGATGGGGCCAGCTCTGCTCAATATCTTTACACATGATCTGGACGAGTGGATGGAGCGCACCCTCAGTAAACCTGCAGATGACACTAAGTTGGGTGGGAGTGTTGATCTGCCTGAGAGTAGGAAGGTTCTCTAGAGGGACCTGGACAGGCTGGATTGACAGGTCAAGGCCAATTGTATGAGGTTCAACAAGGCCAAGTGTCAGGTTCTGCACCTGGGTCACAACAACCCCATTCAGTGCCACAGGCTGGGGGCAGAAGAGTGGCTGGAGATCTGCAAAGCAGAAAAGAACCCGGGGGTGTTGACTGAGAGCAGGATGAACATGAGCCAGCAGTGTGCCCAGGTGGCCAAGAAGGCCAACTGCACCCTGGCCTCCATCAGGAACAGTGTGGCCAGCTGGACTAGGGAAGTGATTGTCCCTCTGTACTCAGCACTGGTCCCTAAAGAGGGAAACGAACCTGGCAAGATCTCTGCTTCAGTTTCTGAATAAGAGGAGATGATGTGATAGGAAAGACATTGCTCATGGTAAACACTGAAACAGAAACAGAAGAGATGGAACTTATTGTACCTGATCACGGACATAGGAAAGTTCTAGGGTATGTGCATCAGAGGAATCATGGCCACCAAAGGTAACCCATCAGACATTGGTAAGGTGTGAACTGTGGTGAAGCTTTAAGGAAGAATCAGGAGGAATCACTTAGGAGGAAAAAAGTCTGTGTTTCCTCAGTGGTGAAATGCCTGTCTGACCAGCTGGAACACCACAGCCCAGCGCAGCAGAGGGATGTGGACTCCAGAGTATTAAATCACAAGAAGTAGGACAGTCAAAGGTTTCAAACTCCTTGTTTAGAAGAATTCAGTTCCAGATTCAGTTCCTCACAAAAAAAGGATGAAAATTTCGGGCATTCCCATCATCCTGGTAACCAAACACAGGCCCAGATGCCACGTAACATCCCACACAACGTTTACATCATCTTTTATATTTAACAAGCTGCTCTGAATAACAACAGAGTGCCCAACTTCGGGATCTAAAGAGAAGCAGTGAGTCAGTTCCATAGGTCCAGAGTTTTCTTCTTATCAGGCTGAGTTACTGGCAAGAAGAGCAATGACTGCATCATTGAAGTGCTGGGTAACAGGCTAAGATTCATAAAGCAGAAATATCCTAACGTGTGGAAAACTTGTTGCACAGTAGGGATAAATCCAGCAGGTAAAATCACTCTAGGAAAGAATTTGCTCTCATGCACCTGCATTTGTAAAAATTTGCTTGAGTGATTCATGAGTGGAGAAAGCTTTAAAGAGTTCCCAATGATATACAGACATCTACACAGCTCCATGAATGATCTCCTCCTTTCTACTAATCACATTACTGTCAGACAAGAAAAAATGTTCAGAAGAGAAAGCAAAACTTGCTTCATTTTTAAAAAGCTTTTTAAAAAAGTTCTTTTTTAAAAGCTTGAAAAAAATAATAATTTAGAATTAGAAATTAATTTTGTTAATAGATAACGAAATAAAAAATAAATACTGTTAGGATAATTTTTTGCTGAAGAACTTCAAGAACAGGCACGATCACTGCTGAGCCAGTTTCCCTACTAGATCTCTTTCTTAACCGCATAATATCAGAAAATTCTGGTAAGTCTGACATGTGTTTTGAGGACAGGAGATGGCATCCTAAGGATCCCTGGTCCTTGACAAAGAGGAAGCTTGGATCTTGGGAAATACAGAAATGCAGGACTCTGCATTCTTTGCTGCCTTGCCTTCTCCACTGACCAGCTGTGGTTATCCCATAGCCTCTACAGTGTCAGTTCTCCATCAGTTCAAACCAGCCAGCACTGGCTAGATAAATGTGTCATTCTTGACCAAGCTATCATTGATTCCTTCTACTCCTGACTTTACAATTACTTTAGAGAAAGATTTTCAAGCTGCAAAAGCTGGCTGTAGATTCGGAATATCTAACATTTACAAGGTGTTCAGGAACATGTTGTTTATATAGCCAAGAGCACGGATGTGGACATCTTCAAAATTTAGATTCGGATTTAATTTTCCTATCTGGAATGGAGAGATACAGAGGATTTAGTCCAGACATGACAATGATTTGTTAATATTACAACTACACTTGTACATACCATATAAAAAGTATGTTTCCTCTGATTCACTGGTAAACTGCTAGAAAGTTAAATGTCATAGTTCTTGCTGTAAGTGAACATAGAACACTTTACAGAAGTTTTCCTTAGTTTGTGTAAACAGAGCCAAAACTTGTAACCTCACTTCCCCAAACTGCCAAAACTTCTGTCCTTACAGAAACATGTATTTTTTTCCAAAGGCAGTGTTTTGAAATGGCTCATCAAGTTCACTCACTGTTCAAAATAAATCATTCTATTTATCATCAGGTCATCTTCTCAAAACATCATGAAAAAGCTTCTGATGTACGTAACCTTTGTTTTTAATTCTACTGGTGGAATTAAAGCAATGTCAAGCTTTTTATAGACATAATATTGTTTCGTCCCTCTTCTGCGTGTTTTGCTCAGCTGCTAAGATAATCATCAAAAGTCACCAGGGAAATTGATCACTGTTAGTGCCGCCAAAAACAGCTACAGCAAGATAATCCAGTACTACCAAAAATTACAGCAGGCCAACATCAGTAACAACATATACTCTACTGTTTCTTGAGGGAGAGCCACTGAAATATTCTCCCAAATTTCAGAGTTACCTCTCATTGATATATACATCTACGTGAGATTAAACATATGTACATGTGTGCAGACAAATATAAAATGCTATGTCAGGTATGGAGAGCTCACAAAAATGAAACAAAAATCTTCAGAACTGAAAAGGAAGAACAGCTGATCTTTTCGTGCCATCTCCTGTATTTGTTAATTCACATGAATTTTCTAAGCTATGAAAAACTCATTGTTTACATACATTTTTTATCTCAGCTGGAATACAAGCCATTTCTATCTAGCTCCCCTTTGCTTTGCTACCTACAAATTTAGGGCAACCAAACACTGCCAGATGGGCCACTTCTTTGCACCTCAGCAGGAACACTTTGATTGCCGCCAAAAACAGCTACAGCAAGATAATCCAGTACTACCAAAAATTACAGCAGGCCAACATCAGTAACAACATATACTCTACTGTTTCTTGAGGGAGAGCCACTGAAATATTCTCCCAAATTTCAGAGTTACCTCTCATTGATATATACATCTACGTGAGATTAAACATATGTACATGTGTGCAGACAAATATAAAATGCTATGTCAGGTATGGAGAGCTCACAAAAATGAAACAAAAATCTTCAGAACTGAAAAGGAAGAACAGCTGATCTTTTCGTGCCATCTCCTGTATTTGTTAATTCACATGAATTTTCTAAGCTATGAAAAACTCATTGTTTACATACATTTTTTATCTCAGCTGGAATACAAGCCATTTCTATCTAGCTCCCCTTTGCTTTGCTACCTACAAATTTAGGGCAACCAAACACTGCCAGATGGGCCACTTCTTTGCACCTCAGAAGGAACACTTTGATTCAGAGAGATCCAGCAGCTACAGAAACAGATGAACAAGGCATTGACTGGGACAGCCAAATGCACAGAAGAACACCGAGGGACCCAGATCTCCCCTGACTGAAGTGGTCCATCGCACGCTGACAAGCCTTTTTGAAAGAGCCCAGACTTGAGATGAGATCTTCACAGAGAAGGTGCTGGCTCTGGAGTTTCACAAACTGCAGAAAGCCAGCAGTGAATGAGAGGCACCAGTGACCAACCAGTATGCACTTTGGTGGTGGAAGGCTGGTGCAGGCATTGGAAACCTGCCATAGTGGGCAGCAAAAATCCCTGCTGAAGAGGACAAACATGGAACACATCCTTCTTTGTAAAAAAAAAAGAGGACTAGAACTAAAGTCAGGTACAATGGGACTGCTTGTGAATAGGGCAGTGAATAGGACAGGGAAAAAAATAAAATACAAAGAAATCATGGGGGGAAAAAAGAATGTACTCTTTTCCTTCTGTGGTCATTAGTTAAAACACAGCACCATTAACAGGTGCAGATACTGTGCAAAGAAGATATTCCCAGTCCTGCACGGTACATGAATTAATACCAAATGCAGAACCAGATCAAAATCAAACAAGCATTAACCATTCAATTTCAGGATGATCAACCACGGACATAAAAACTTCCCTGGAAGCTTTCAAACATATTGCCTATTGCAATGAGAAGGCTTTCTATGCAATCTGGATCATTTCTAGAAGCTAAAAACTCCTTTAGACCATCTTTAAAGTACCAAAGCAAATATCTGGTTAAAAAAAGTAAATAGGGGCAAAATTCCTCCAACCAACTCTGCTTTAAAAGCCTCCTCCCCGTAGATACTGGTTCAGTTGTACAAATCAACATATTGAAAGGATCTGTCAGAGCTCTCAACTTTGTTCTGAGGGTCTGTTCTTACCACTTAAAAGGAGATAACAAAATATGCTGCTTAACCTAACAGCTTCAGGTGACAATGCAGCCCCATGAAGGAGCAGCACTAACAAAACCACTGACAGGGAAGGATTTTAAGAAGAGACACAGCATTTTCCAAGGAAAGGTAATGAAGCTTTAGCCTTGAACCATCAAAATAATGGTTCTTCCCATAGGAAACAGCAAGGCTGCAATCCTGCCTGTTAAGCTGAGCAGCCTAAACAAGGGAACGAAACTCTCTAAAGTTAAATACACTGGAGAAAAGGGGAAAAACAAAACAGGTTTCACTTTCAGTTCTGCTCATTAGTTTACCTTAAGCATGTCTACTACTCACTCACAGCCTGACCAAAGTGCAGACATGCCTAAGGGTTTTTGTTCCCTCACAGACTGAACTGGAGACTGTCAGTCTATGAATTCAGTGGGCAGTGTAACGAGTTTGTGCATTAGGGCATACTTGGGTGCACACTGCTCACAGGTGGACTCCATTCCACTCTCCTGAAGGAAGAAAACCTTTTAACCCTCCCACACACCCTTGATCAAGAGGTGCATGGGCCTGAGCAGCATCAATGATGTCATGCCGACACCATGGCAATGGTGGCACCATGGCAACAGTGACTGAGTCAGCAACTTCATGATCTATACAGCTTTGATCCAGCCACACAGAAGTTCCATCAGCTGCTGTAAAATTCTTTGAGATCCTTTATTTCATATTTGCTTAAGTGTCTCCACAGACGTCCTGCTTCCCTAAAGAACGTTTATCTCAAAGGAGGTTTTGGTCATTCTCTTTTGACCTTTCCTTATGTTTTATTCCTCTTTATTTTTACTTTTTAGCATTATTAAAACAATAATGGTAAATTCCAGGGATTCTTTAAGAATACAAGTAGTTCCATGTATTGTGACTCAAAAGCAGCCAGTGCTAAAACATGTTTTACCAGTCCAATGCCTAATGAGAATGATAAAACTTAGTTCTAGTGTAAATTAATCTATCTGGTTTTCATAGCAATTAATTTCTGACCCAGATTTAAATCATCTACATGTTACATTACAAACATATTTAAAGAAGGGGGAGAGGGCAGACCAAATGACAAACAGAATCAGCAATCTACCTTCTAAAATGTTTTCAGAGCAGAAACAGTATAAATGCTCACCTCTAGCAAAATGAACAGGAATTTAGTGTGTTGGGTTTTTTACCTTACTAATACCCAAAGCAATAATCTCTGTATCACAAAGTAGTATTTCTATGCATCAGCTTTTCAACTGCTATAAGAAAGTAGATTTCTTAGTTATCCCTAGTATGCATTTAGAGGGCAGATAATCCTCTGCATTTCTATGCCTACTCATACACAGCTCCAGTATTTAGCAAATTTGGTATCCATCCTCTGCTTTCTACTGCATTAATATTTTTCTCAGTGTTCTTTTTTTTGTACATTCTTTCCATTTCAAGGATGTAGTGACCAATACAACCAAGACAACAATTCTGCAAGTGCAAGACTGATGCAATAGGTGGTTATATCAGCTTCCTTACAGTAATTCCACATCCTGTCTTATCAGATTAGTACATTGTCAAGGATTAATGTATAATCTTTTCAGAATAATGTACTACACAAACCATTTTTTAACCCCAACCATTATGTGAATGTCAAAAGAACTGCTGAGTTGTTGTCTAACTTCATTATTCTTTTATTTCTCATAAGACAAAGGTAGCCAAGCTATTGTTCTTGCACCGTATGCATCTCATTAGCAATTTGGCTGTGGGAGAAAAATGAGCCATTAGGGGACACCAAAACTGTAGTTACTAGGTCATGCTGGAACCCAGCTGTGTGCCCAGCCCCATCCTACAATGCAGAAAGAGCTCAGAAAAGCCCATCTGTCTCCTTCCTCTGAATCACTTGTAGGTAATTCTCTGCCCTCACCTCTTTAAGGTACATGGCACGTCTTACAGCTCTCAGGCATAAAAAGATGTAATGTATAGCTAATGGACAGCCTTTCTGATTCTTGGCAATACCTTTATTTCCTTGTTTCTGCACTGCCTGTTTCTTTTTTTTAAACCTGACAAGAGCTGCCACAGAAAAAGATACAGCAGTTATTTTCTGTTGCAGAGACACCTTACAATAGTAAAATACAGAAAGTAGAGGTTATGTAGGTTACTGTGTGTAATTGATAGAATTTGTGTAAGAAAATTTTCCTCTTACGAGAAACAGGAAAACATGGTCATACTTATAATGATCAGATATGAACTTGACAAGATTTAACACTTTCTTTTCAGAAAGGCCTACATCTACAACTGTATAAACATGTATCTATATATGCATTCATATCTACAACACACACTAGGACCCTTTGTCCCCTGTGGGACAGGGTCTTCCCATCCAATGCCAGCAGGCCCAGTGTCCTGGAAATCAAACTATGCAGGAGTTTTGTCCCCTACCCCCTTCAAGTCTAGTTTAAAGCTCTCTCAATGAGCCCTGCTAACTCCTGGCCAAGAATCCTTTTCCCCCTTGTTGATAGCTCTACGCCAGTGTCCACAAACATCTCCATGATTGAAAAACCCATAGTTCACCTGATAGCACTAGCCTCTAAGCCATATATTAATCAGC